TTTTATTCCACAACAATGCAGGTATTATTGATGTATGTATACCTACCCTAAAAACTATCAACTGCAAAATTTAAAATCTTTTGATGTATTTCGCAATTACTGTGAAATTAAACGAAAGTTAAATTGCGTTATTTGTATGAAATTTCCGTTTTTTTCGTTGCATGAAGGTGTAGGTAAATATACAGATTGTTGTTGGATCAAAAATAAATAATGAATATACTACTAATAACAAGAACTACGCATAACCCATTCCTATCGTCATTCATTCCTAAATCTGCCAACAATCAGGAACTTGTTGCCCCAATAAACGATGCTTAAATAACGCAACATGGACAGCTTTATTCTGCAGCCTGTATCGCTCTCCGCAGGCCTACTCCTATCAGTATCAGTACCGCCCGGATAAGCCATGACTATAGGCTGGACGCTCCCGAGGAGGTAGCCTGCTCCTCCATAAAGGTTGCTTGGGCTCGGCAACTCCTAGCCGTGCCCTTCTAACAACCTGCATTCAGTGGTGTGCAACAAGGCACCCTTCACCATGCAACTTTTCGTTCCAACAATCTCCGTCACGAAACGGTAACCGTGAACCTTGTTGGGCCTGTATTATCATGCATTCCCATGTTACAGCATGATGGATCAGCTATACTGCAACTGTTCTTCTTTTTCGTGTATAAACGTAGTGACGCGTCCTTTCGCAAAATCTCAGATTGATTTTATCTCACTTTGCCGCTTCCATTGTCTACTAACAGAACTCTTTCAAGCGCCGCACGTCTAGATTCGACGCTGATGACGGTTTCCTTTCCACATTTCTCAGCAAATCTAAATCTCACTCCCAATTGCACTCCGTTGCAATTATCTGCACTCCGTCGCCAATTTTCCATAGGGAATATGGAAAAAGATGTGTGTGGGCCAGTTGAGTTTGTAGAAATAATAAAATAAAAATTGTTATTATTATTATTTATTTTGTGATTAGAAGTACATGCCAGTCACAGAATGTTCCAACGATAAATAGTATAGAAAATTCGAGGTTACTATTGATTTGGAGTTGGTTTTAGATTATTCAAACCTTAAACACGAAGTCGATGCTACTCTAATTAGGTAAACAAGGCAAACCACACGGCTACACAAGGTGCGAATGGGGCGAAGCGCTCGTGATGACCGCATCAACAGCCAATCAACTCCAACCAAACTGACGGACACGCGTGTTACACTCTTTGCTGTGAGATCGTCAGTGTTCAAACATTTCTAGTGCTTCATTAAAAATAATTACATTAAAATTATTGATTTCATCTATGATAAATACATAAACTCGTAATAAATAATTTTATTTCTATTGACAATTTCACTCGTGAAATTAAAAACAATAGTGTTTAACTATACTCACAAAATGCCCCAATCAGGGCGACTTATCTCAAAAAGTTTATCGCTTTTTCTATAGGATTTTTCTTACCGCTTTTCCCTTCTTGCCAATCATAAACTGTGACTCATGTTAGTAAGCAGTATACATCAATCGCTATTTGTATCTATAATAAATAGCGTACGTAACCACCTTCATTTTAACATATCTTCCCGTTATTTATTTGGCGGCTTTTGGAACTTTGTTGGACATAATTTCACTGGAGGAGTTGTCCTATTAAATACCACTCGTGATTTGGAAAATGTCAGATAAATCCCCTCCTTGCTTTGTGAGTCGGGGATTCATCGACAATTTTCAAAGCACTCGTATTACCTACGAGAATCTATTCCAGAAAATATAAGTATTAATATAGTCTATGTTTCCCCACGTTGAGGTCTTGACGTTTCAAACAATCGATGGCTCAAGCCGGGAAACGAACGCGGTTCTCCCGGTGAACGCGCAGTTCGAACATTCCTTGTATTCCGGGCAGTCAATTGGGATCAAATTTCAAATATCACTTACAACAAAGTATTTTATGCTTTTTCTTAAAACTTCGCCTATGTAACAAGCAAATTAGTATATTAATGTCAGTATTATTCGAAGAAAGTGATTTGTTAGTATTCTAAATTACTTTAAGCTGGGGCGAATCCAGAGACGAATTTTGGAAGGGAAAATTCAAAATGTGTTCGTCAGATATTACAGGTTTTGTAAAGATCTTAGGCAACACTGAGCTAATGCTGCGATACGATTTTATTTGTTTTAATGACAATCCGAAAATATGTTGCAGAACTGCATTTAACATTAAATCTACCGCTCCTGAAGAGCACTTTAAGAATTTAGCTTCCGAGTTTTATTAAAAATTAAACGCGTCAAATAATGACGTTATTAAAAATTTAACTTTGTACGAGCCGGACCACATGGCCACGTACAAGCGCCCGAGTGATAGCCTGCAGTAGACAAACGCAATTACTTGCATGAAAATTGAGGTAAACAACGCGAAATAGCGCGCCGAACGCTAATTGTCTCTCCTGACCACGTTCATTTTCTATGTTAAAGATCAGCCGTAGATGTCCGAAAGGACAGGGATGGCGACATTGCAGTTCGCATCCACACGGAACTGCGCTGCAAAGCAAGCGAGCAGATAGACATTTTCGTAACTATACGAGTATTTGTATAAGCTGTCTTTTGGTTTTTAAAATAAATGTAATAGATCCCCAGTTGATTGATGACAATTAGCAGAAACCAGTTTGTGGTATATTTTACATAAAAATAAATTTTACATATTTACTGAAGCACATTGCAATGACACGGTGTTTTTATATCAGATAACTAACATACTTTTTTTACTGCCTTTAATCTTCTTCTTATTATTATGTTTATTTTAGGCGTCTGTTTTGCCCAATTTTTGGATACGAAAGTCCGACAAAATCTGGATTTTGGCTACACAACGATTAGAGCAAGTATATGGGAGAAATATTTATCCACTTTTTCGGCACCAGCCCCCCCCCCCCAAAGGAGTATTTTTCTGTGGAAAAATTACCGTTTTTTTGATTAAGAATTACATAACATTCCGTACTACGTAATTAGTACGTACACAAGGGAATGGAAAACCCCTTCTGCCTCCGTATGGCCATTACTTGCGTAAGTGTAGTGCGTGTTCCGCCGTTCTGCCTGCGTGTTGCCTGGTTTCGCCCCCACAGGGGCAAGCCCTTGAGCGCCTGGCCAAGAGGGCGCGAGTCACGGCTCCAGCATTGGACTGGCGTTGATGGTCGAAACCACGGAAGACTTATCAGGACACACGGTCGAGAGTTTTCCTGCAGACATCAGCTGAATTCGATGTAGTTATCCAGCTGGTGTGAAAATACTCCTCGGGTCGCCCGGCCAGGGACAGTGCAGTGGCGCGAGCTGTTACCTTCAACTGCCTCCGCTGGTCCCTACCTCCGATGTTATTCCGCTGATAGCTGACAACGTATTGTTTGAACATTTATTTGGTTGTTCATTGTTTTTTCTGACCCTACTGACGGTTGAACGGGCCAATTAAAGGCATTTCCTCTCATTGGTATTAATGCACGGTGTTTTGTAAATTAACAGTTCTGTTCTAAGATGGCAAAATGATACAAGTCACTTTTTCATGACATGAGACACAAAATGACATAAGTCACTCTTGTTTGTTAATGTTTTGAAGTAGTTAAAAGGTGCACTTCTCTTGTAGTTTATGAAAAAACAATGACGACAAATTGCAAACAAGACAAAAGTCAGAGTAATTTTTTTAACTACATTTTGATGTTTAAAATTGTTGTTTGATGCTTAAAATACTATAAGAGAATATATTGACTTGTTTCACCTATGTAGGAGCTCGAGGGGAACTTAAATTGAAGAGCGTAGAGGTGAGAACCCCGTGGGGCGCGCGTTTCAGCCGAACCATCCAAACCAAAATCCTCTCGTTTGGGGCCGTCCATAAATTGAGGCCATTTTTCGACTCTCCTTCCTCCCTTCAGTGAGATTTTTCAAAATGCATATTTTTAATGCAAATGCCGTAATTTAATTTGTGATTGATTGCATTAGGAGTTATTTAAAAAAGGTTATTTGCTTAATTATATTTATTTAAGACCAGGTATAAATAGTATTTAGAAAATAGAATGTCTGAATTGCAATGAATATTATTGCACTTCAAAAGCAGTGGAATAATTCTTTGTCTGAAAATTTTCTTTAAAATTTCAGTAAAAATATAGGTAATGAGATTTATCTCATTAATGATAAAAAGTATGGTAATTTTTGTTATATTCTTTTTCTCAGTGTACTATGCTACTTGTAACATTCACATAACCGCGATAAAAATTATTGTGCAAGATTTAGCCATATTTTAGTACAGAAACGTGTTTTACTTAACTTGTCTCAGTTTTCTCGCAATTTAGCTCTGTTTAGCGAAAAGCGTGATATTTCCCGAGGTCTCCCTTTCCCCCACGTATATTAGATGAGATTCGTCTTGAACCTGTCCCCCCCCCCCAAAGGCCCCTTTCTTGTGCCACTCTTTCCATCTTCCCCACCATCACTGATGTCATCTTTATCGCTAGAATCTACTCAGCAGTTCATAATTGATGGATCCCAATGGCCTTAAATAGGTCCAAGCGTCTCTGACTTCGAGGCCCTGGCTGCGCTGCCCGGATGGACTCGTCACGTCACGCGACTCCCCGAGCAGACAACGGGGCGCTCGCGGTCTTCCCTCCATCTCCCGCCCCCCCCCCACACACACACACACACTAATGGCATTTAAACATGCACGAGAAAGGATAGCACTGGACCGATGAGCCCAGAAAGAGAAAAGCATCGCAGCCATCCAAGTGCGGCTGATGCCGCTGCAGAGCCTCTGAGCGAGAGGACCTAGGGATCGAGACCCGACGGTGGCAGGAATTTTGACACTAGCTCGTCAGCTAGGTCAAATTCAGTCACTGGAGGAGAATTGTGGTGGTTGGCTGCTCCGTCGTTTCTCCAATCAACACCAGGCGAAACGGGCTACGGACCACGTGCTATCCCTTGCCGGGGGCGGTGGGGAGCTCGCAGCCTGTCCGCTGGGGGGAGGGAGGTGTCGCCCGGGGGTGCGAGCTCAGAGGGCGAAGGCGATGCGCTGCGCTCGGCGGCGGAGGCGGCGGCGGCGGCGGCGGCGGCGGCAGGCGAGCGCGCCCTGCGCCACCTCGGCGGCGAAGGCGGCGGCGGCGGCGAGCAGCCCTGCGCCCAGGTAGGCGGCGGGCTCCATCAGCGCCTGCAGGCGCAGCGCGCGCGGCTCCTCGGCCTCTGCGCCAGCGGCCCCGGCCAGGGCGGGCCCGCGGTGCAGGATGCCGAGCGCGCGCAGCTCCCGCCTGTAGTCGCTGCGCGCACACCGCGTTACAGAGCCTCAGCGCCAGGAGGACTAGGGCAAAGGGGAGCGATGGAGCGAGCGTCGCTGTGCGGTTGGGCACTAGGAAGAACACACCTTGACTGCGCTAGACGCCCTTTCGACTATCGCGCGGAGTCTGTGTGCGAGTCACCTCAACTCGCAGCTAGGAGCTTCACGAAAGAGGCGTCCCCTAGCACTTAAAGCAACGCGTTGTCTACAAGGTCTGTCTCGACGCTCTAAGTCACAGAATTGTTAGATTGATTCATTGTTAGTGCTTACAGACGCGTCATTAATCCCGTAAGTACAGTGCATATTTTTGCTCGGGAGGTGGCGGCTGTCTTCCCTTGCTGTAAGGCGAGAACCGACACCGACCACCTACGGTCGGCTAACGGGGTTTTCCCCATCCATGTATCTCCCAACAGCGGGGCACCGCTCCAGCCCCCGACCGGCCTCCCGGCATGTGTAGTGGTGTAGTGCAAGTTGGTGTAAGTGTGTGTGTGAGGGACAGGGCAAGGAAGAGGAAGCAAAGATCGCGCGCGGTGGCCCTTTTTTAGGGCGCTGCTCGGGCATTCAACAGAGCGGTCAGACTACTTTGGATAGCGTAAGGGGAGGTTTCTCTTTTTAACTGTTCCTAGTTCAGTTGTCTCCATGCCCTGGGAAAGGTAGAACGTGTTAGTTTGTTAGCTTCTGTATAGTAGTCGAGTCGTACTTACGGTGGAGAAATTTGTGGATGTAAGATACGCAATCGAGATGAACAAGACACCGGGAAGGAGTCGTGGATCTTCGAGTGCAACAAAGGGGCAGAGCGTCAGACCTCGGCGTCTCCGCGCTCCAAAGACTCGCAGGATGCTCTCTGCTCTTTTGACACGAAGGGGAGAGTGCAGAGGGAGTTGGTAGCTCCTGGAGGTTAAGAGCGAGGGAGCACCTCGGCCACCGCGCCGGCCACCCCGCCTTCGTCGTCGGGGGCTGCCGTCCCGGTCTCTCTGCTTGGCCCAAAGAAGTGGACGGCAAAGAAGTCACGCGGGAAAAGCGAATCTATGCACAAGGGTCATACTTTAAAGGATTTCAAGTTGCTGTACCTATACCATTAATACATTTGTTTTTATGCAACGCATTATTTTTTGGGACATGTCTTGCATTGTACAGGACGCCAGAGGAAGAAACGTTGAAGCTTCAAAACTAAGCTCTTAAGGCAATTTTAAGCATATTCTGACTAATGAACTTCTGGAATATTCAGAGTGGCTGTGCCGTGATAAACACGCAGCAGTTCGTTTCGAAAATACTTTATTTGTAAAAATGTGCATTGCAGAAGCATAGAAACACTCCAGAAACATGCAAATTGTTTGTTTACAAAAGAAATGAGTATATTGGTTCAGAAAGAAATAAAAAGCAGTCGAATTGCGTAAATTGGGTGCCGCTGAGAAGCCTGGGAGCGGATGGTGGCTGTAAGCAGCTGTAAGGACCCTCATCTCTTTGGACCGTCGGCCTTCCCTTCGAGGACAGTTCTTTCTCTACGACGCATCCAGAATGTACCCATTTGTGCACTTCATGGGATGCAGAAGCCTGCCAGAATACTATTGTCGCTCGACCGTCGACCAGAGGGTTCTCGCGGTGGCGCACAGAAGCTGCGCGTGCTCTGCCGTGGAGGACGCAGTAGACATCGGAAGTTTACGAGAATGCCTATTCAACTCTAATAAAAATATTTAAAGAAATTAACATATGTATATAAATAATGGAAAACCAAACAAGACGAATTTTTATTTTGACATTTTTTGTCTTTTGTGACACTTTTTTCTTATATGTAATAATTTTTACATATTTTACTTTATTTTGGTTACAAACACAAGTTTAAATCAATTTAAGTTCTACTAATCACATATATTTTCTGCTGCTAATGAATCGCCATTATCTCGCTGTCATTTGACTTTGCACGTCACATTAATTTTTTGGAGCCGAAAAGCTTGTATTGTGGCTTCTCGTGTCTCGGGGGGCAGGGCGGCAGATGTCTCGGGGGCGGGAGATGCGTCTTCCTTCTGCGCGGTCCTCGAGTTGTGCCCCACGCGAAGCCTCACTGGGCTCAATCGTCTCAGTCGCTCGTCAACGGTGCATTAAGATTCTCTCGTGTTACATTGTTTTTTTGATATCGGCTAATTTTAGATGCAAGCGCAGTGCAGTATACTAGTGGTTTTTGCTGTAGTGTGATGTCTAGTCATGAGACCAGTGGCTGAGAGGGGAGCTACCTGTCGAACTTGAGGGGCAGGCCGGCCTCGAACGCGAACTGCAGCAGTCGGTCGAAGCGCGCGCGCTGGGGCCAGCGCGGCCGCGTCATGAACGCCACGTAGGCCAGCGAGAGCGCGCGCTCCGCCACCAGGTGCGCCAGAGGCGCGCCCGTCGCCGCGTCCGTCATGTTGCGGCCCTCGACCAGCAGGCGCGCCTGCTCCAGCGACATGATGTACGCCGGCCCGCGCTCCTCCTCGGCGAACTCGCGCCGCGCCACGTCCAGCGGGTTGCCGTCCTGGGGCGCCTCCGCCAGCCTGCGTTGGCCCCCCGCCACTCACCGCGCTGGCCCCGAGCAACGCGATTTCAGAAGCGCATTTGTCAAGGAACTCACATGTCGAGCAGCTTCCAGATGACGTCGTCGGGGTGCGCGGAGTGGAGCTGTCTGCGCAGCGTGGCGTCGCCGTAGACGCGGTCGACGTGCGCGGCCACGTCGCGCAGCGTGTCCAGCTGCGGCGGGTCGCCCAGCACGGTGAGGAAGCTCATGAAGCGGCCGGTGAAGGCGTTGACGAGCACGAGCCCCGCGGCGCTGAGCAGCAGAAGCAGCGCGTTGGCGCGCCCGTCGCCCGCGCGCTCGGCGAAGCCGCCGTTGACGAAGGCGTCCAGCGCGCCCAGCACCGCGTCCCTGCGGCAAAAAAACGAGCTTTATACACTTGGAAGAAGATTCCACTAAACACTTTTGAGAAAATAAAATAATCAAGCAAAAAACATACTTTTATCGTTTTTGTGGTTATGCTGTCTAGATGATTTGCGTCGTCATTAAGTCAAACTAATGTATTAACATAATCTAAAAAAATATAAAAATATTTTAGTTAATAAAAAATATAATTATTTTAAGTGTTGAAGTTTAATTAAAAATGAACCCGCAACCCAACCCCATTAGAAACGTTGTAGAAGGTGGGAACCCTGTGTGCGCATGGTATTATCCGCACAACTTCCTCGCTTCTTGGACCGAAAATAAATTTTGTTTCGGACAATGAAGGTTTCTTAGGACAGCTGTGGTCAGTGCACGTTTACCTGCAACTGTTTATTGCGCCAGGGAGGGGCGTGTACGTTGGAAGCCATGTCTCGTAAACGTACTTTCTAGTGGTGCGTGTGAGTTGGGAGCAGAGTCAAGTCGGGGAAGGAGAAGGATTGACTAAGCGCGTTGAGGCGCCGCCGGGTGTCTCTTCGCGCCTTCGCCTTCACTGGCAGGGGCAGGGGGGCAGGGGGGCAGG